TTTTTATAAAATACACCTGTTTTTTTCCCTTTTGCCTTCTGGAATTAAGACATTTAGAATTCATGGTTTCAAGCATTTTTCTACAAGATTGAGGCTAGAATTAGAAAGCAAGAAAGCAAGTAAGATTCTTACATGGTCAAGGAGACAGAGCTTTAGGAAGAGACAGCATGAGCGTGGAGCCATCTGGAACTGCAAGACCTGTTGGCTGGATTCGCCCAGCTCCGGCAAGGAGTATCAGGCTTTGGGAACCCCTTGGGCCAGGCAACCCATGGAGTGTCTTTGAACTTAAGCAGGCTGCCAGCAGATCTCCCAGTGGAAGGTTTCCCCCATGTTGGAAAAAGTTGTTACAAATCAGCATAAATCTGAAAAGTTTCCAGCCCCCGCAAGAGATTAGGGACATGCAGATAAGACACATAGCTGCTCTCAGACAGGGTGGTGCTGAGAGGAGCTTGAGCAGCACAGAGAATGAGGCCCCCCGATCTCCAGTGTGACATTGTTTATCTGACTCTCATCTCCTCATGGTCACTCATGAGACGCTACTGGACATGGGCCTTCCTCCATGGACCTCCTCCCCCACACTATGCATGCTACGAGAAGGTGGTGGTGGTTTTTCCTCTGTTCCCTGAGCATGGTTACAACAGCACACATGAGGGCTAGCATTTCTTCTGCCTTCTGTATGCAGAGACCCATCTGGCAGTCATTTTGTCATGCTCTAAGAATCCTTTTACAACCAGGCTGTATTTCAGGTATCTAGGGGATGTTTTCAAAGGGCAAAGTGTCTGGATTAAAAATAAAAAAAAAGTCTTTATTGGACCAGACTAGTATCCCGATTTTACAATTGATCCAATAAAAAGTTTCACTCACAAAAATCCTTGCCTTCAACACTGCATTGAAATCCATTCACTCCATCTAAAGATCAAGCCCTCAGTTCCCACCACCCCAGGTGTGATATATCCACACCTGTGTCCAGGGCTGGAGTCAGTCAACCAGGATTTAACTGGCCATGTAGTTATAGGACACTTCTCAACTATTTTTGAGCTGGAGAGGGTCACTGTGCATCAAACCTATACCTACGGGCCTTCGCAATGACAAAAAATGCCTTTGTGGGCAAGTTCAAACCATGTCCCACATTGCTGACTTATGCCTATTTACTATGCTACCTGGTGGCCTGCAAGCTCTTCACACCGGTAATGATATTGCCTTACGATGTCTGAAACAATATGCCAAAACTGCATATGCTAATAAAATAGTGTCCAGGAAGCCGTGGCAGTGGCTGAAGTCTCCCCACCCTCGCCAGTCCTCTACATCCCTTGCTGTCTCCTTACTCAAACCAAGTTGCTGGTATTTTTTTTTTTGTAGCTGATACTGCCCTAAATCCCTGAATGATCTTAAATAGCTGGCACTGACCTATACTATAGGTGAAGTTTAGCTGATTCTGCTTTAAGAATGTTAAACTTCAGCACATGTTGTGCTCTGGGGAAGATGGGAGCTGGCTGAAGTGAGGAAGGAGTGTCAGCTGGCTCTGCTGGGTAGGATGACCTGTCTCTATGGTGTGCCACATATGTGTTACTATTGCTCACTTCAGCACGCACCTACCAATTTAACAAGAACATCACTGGGGCTTATGTGGAACAGAAGGCTAGCCCCCGTTACTGAAACTGGAACAGACACTGGATTGGGTAAGCCAAAACACAATCTTCAGAGAAAGCTGGTAGACTGCTCAATTAAGCCTGGGAAGGGAATAACAGGAACTCCCTGAACTTAGTATGACTGAATCCAACATAGGGCCAGAGGGCCTGAAGGATGACTGAGTGAAATCTGCAAGGCGTGGGCGAGGCTGTGGGGGTGGCTGGAGGCCACAAAGATAGCCCTTAAGGCAATTAGGGCCATAGGGCCATGATTAGGACTGAAAGGGCCCAGTGTCAGAGAACCGATGTCTGGAAGGGTCAGAGCCCCATGAAGAGACTGTGTCCAGAGGGGTCAGAGCCCCACAGAAAAACTAGTGGGAACGAGAGTCCAGGTAAGTGCAACACCAGTAGAATCATTCCAGGCCTTGAGCAGTCTTCCAGCATAATATAACACTGACATCATGGCGTGGCAGGAGAGACAAGGAGGGGGAGCTGGAGTGGGGCAGGATTAAGGCAGCCACCAGGGGGCATCACAACCTACCTCAGGGGCCAGTCCTGTCACACTGTGTGAGACTTATTAACCCAGGGAGAATTTGATCCCGGTCTAGGTTGTGGCTGCATCCTCAAAGATAATCTGGTGAACAAGCCATGACACATGCTCAGTACCCAACTGCCAAATGTTTTTGAGTTCATTACTGTGAGGCTTGACTGCTCCATGAGACACTACCCAAGGTAAGTCATCAGATGCCAGTTTGCAGGCAGCTTCTTTGGAAATGCACTGCTAGGAGTTTTTCAAAGTTGGAAAACATTTTTTCCCTTCTCTCTCTCTCTCTCATAAATCAAAACCAGGGCTTGTGATGATTCAACCTGCCAGAAAAATCTGCCCTTGAGTGGAGAACAACTCCAGGAAATCTCATCCTCAAAGGGAAATATTTTGGAAAATATCAAGCAGGGGGAGGTGAGGTTAATGTGGAAGATGCTCCCATGGTTGCTGTTTTGTTCCCTAGCCTGGGGCTGGCCAGTCCTGGAAAGAGAGAGCAGTACATTAACAATCAGCTGCATCAGCCTAAATAAACTGGAGTTAAGGCCAAATGTGAGATGCTGAATTGAACTGTCTGGTGCTTACTATCCCAGTACAGGTGATAGAGTTTGCATCTACTCTTGAGGACAAAACCAAGATTGGAGCCAGTGGATTTTGGTCTCAGGGAGTTTTGATCTTGTCACAATGAGCCAAGACTGGCTGCAGAGCATCCAGGTTGTCTCTGGGAACTGAGTGATGGAGAACTGAGGAAGAGAAGGCCCAGGAGGAGATGAAATCCCTTCCAATGTTGGAAGGATGCAGAGATCACATATTGAATGGAGCTTGTTGTGTGAATGCAGCCCACAGCATCAAAACAACCTTGCATGTATGACTAAGTGCAGCCTGGGACTACAGGATGGGGAACCTGTAAAGGACAGCTCCACGACAGGAGCCAGCACATGTCTGGGGAAAATGTTTCCCAGTGAGTATGTCTTCCACTAAGGCCTTTCTTGCAGTGGTACTGGCCAATGTTGGACCTAGAGCAGGATGAAGCCCCAAACCAATCTGGCCATCCCAGCGTTCCAGATTTCTCTTGGAGAAGGTAGGGTCTCCCAGCAGGTTGTGATGCTGCTCCTTATGTACCCACCACTGCATATTCAGGCTCATTAGAAGCTCTTCTCCAGCAGCCACCTCACTGGTACAAATACGCAAGGGGGAAAGTGCAGAGAAAAAAGAATCTGCCAAGCTGCTGCCCAGCAGGGGTCCTGAGCGAGGCTATGAGTTTATTTGGGCTCAGCTGAGGAGCTCTGTCCTAGAGACTAGATCAGCCCCTACTGTCCCCCACTCCTGTCACCAAAAGCCAGAGCTCTGAAGAGAAAGATAATCTGAAGGTAGGAGGAATGCAATGTGCAGGCCTGTTTGGTCAGTACAATAAGGACCTGCATTGAGTGGCCTGCATGGAATGAGTTGAGTCTCAGTTCATTGCTCAAGACATGGGGCAAAACCAGCAGCAGAGAGGGCTGGGGCAGCACAGAAGAGCTGTCAGTCAACAGAGAGCTTTACTCTCCAGTGCTGGTCACCCCACCTTTCCCCACAGCATTGAATCTGCATGTGCCTGGTTGAAGGGATGGAGCTTCAGTTCACTTTGGTGGTGAAGCATCTTAATGTAGGCACAGAAATGAAACCTAACCTTGCCTGCCTGCTCAACTGGGTGATGCAGGGCTTCTATGAGCAGTGGAATTCATCAGCACTATGATGGAAACCAGGCCACATTACAAAAACCCACCACCAGCCCTTGGCTGGGAGCACAAGGGGAGAAGAATACTAACAGCTACTTCTGACCCCTCAGCAAAGTATTCATGGTCAACATCTGCCAACCTTGGCACAAAGCTCAGGAAGAAAAGAACTGGATGGGGCCCCGTGTCCCCTGGAATGGACCCTGGGGCAGCCAAGAAGGCAAAATAGTAATCTTCCTCCTGTGGATGTGTGGTGTGAGCGAGTGACTCTGGACATCAGGCAAGGCTAGAGCAGGCTAGAAGGTGGAAAAGTCAAAGCTCAGCAGGAGCTGAACTTCATCCTAGGACCATGACCTCCTGATCTCCATCAGCATCTAGAGCTGCTTACAGAACCAAAGAAACCAACCTTCCCTGCCCACCTCCATGCAGTCACCTAGTCCCCTGTGTTAGTCCTGTGTGAAGAAAATTCATGGAAGAGACACTGTCAGGATGCAGGATGCCTCAGAGCTGGTTCCTTAGGGCTGCACATCTTCCTATGGTATGCTGGAAAATCCCGTTCTCCCTGTTCTCAAAGAGGTCTTGTTATTTCCAACTAAGCCATGAATCCACTGCCAGCCAGCACTGAAATGGACACGACTCTTCACTTGCTCTCCACTCTGCATGAGCCAGGTGGGGGGTACTCTATTTTTTGTGTGACCTCTAACAATAATAAAGCCTATTGCCACCTCTCCTTCACCCCCGCTCTTAAGATTTCCCCTCAAGCAGCAGGTGTAAGATTGTGTCTTAATGGGAACCAAAGGACATGGATCCCCTTAAAATGAGGCTTGAGGCCAGAGATCCTGACAGTGTCCCTGCCTGTGTGAGTCTGCCCCAGGCAGGAGGAAGGAAGGCATTCGAGAGGAGACGCAAGGACAGGCTGTTCTAGGAAGCGCGCTCTGTGCGGGGGGAATTTACGGAACGGCCCATTGTGATGAGCGTCCCGGCCCCTGTGGGTTAGAGGGTTAGGAACATGCCATGAGGGAGAGGGGGAGGGAGCCCAGGCTCCTGGCATGCCCTGGGAGGAAGCCGGTTCGTGCCCTTGGGGAAGGGCGTGGGGGCTCTGAGCGCGATTCCCACCTTGCGTTCCGCCGATGTCGGGCTGAGGGAGGAGTCGGCCGCTCTGCTTCCCCGTCCTCCCAGCTGGATGGATTGGGTCAGCGCAAAAGCCTGAGGAAAAGGAGCAGTGCAAGAGTTAGAGGCAGCGGGGACAGGGGCCACCCAGGTGCGGGGGCGCAGGGTGTGGGAGGGACCTGCCTGAGGGAGCGGCATGCGGGAGGGACCAAGAAGCAAGGAAGGTGCTGTCTCATAGCCCATGTGCAATGCAGGGAGAAGCTCCCCTGTTGCCAGTGTGCCGGGACCAGGCTGTAATGCTCCCCCTGCAGACAGACCTTGTGCATGGTGTGCTGTGCGTGTGTTCATGTGATCATGCATGGCACATACTCTTGGGCATGGCTCACTCTGAGCACTATTGTGCCTGGCATGTGTGATTGAGTATGCTCCCAGTACAGCATGCCCAGATGATCGTGTATAGCACTTATGACTGTGGCCAATGCACATAAATATGCACAGTGCATGTGCATGTATTGATACTGCATGTGCGGCACATGTTAATGTGACTGTGTGAGCACACACCAGTGTGCCCAGCCTCTCCTGGAAGTGTGCCCCCATGAGTGCGGGGTGTGGGCCAACATGTCTGTACAATCATATGTGGGCTGCACACTTGTGCACGGGGTCTGTGTGTGTCATGCTGAGGGGTGCTGGATGGAGTTCCCTTTGCTCTGCATTAATATGGAGAGTGGTTCTTGGGTTTCCCAAGTCCATTTGTTGATCAGCTCCTGTCTACTGTCCTAAAGAGTGCTCAGGAGAGCAGGGGAAAGATGCATTTTAACTGCCACCCTGATCAACTGTAGGAGACTCCAGCTGGGTGGGTCATAGCCCACTCCCAGGGCTATGTGCAACCCAGTGGCACATTCCCCTATGCTGTGCTCTGGTTTGTGCCCTTCTTTGTGGTTCTCTGCTTAGAGCAATACCCAGACAATGGGCAGGGCTAAACTAGCTCCTTGCAGTGGCCAAGGGTTCAGTGAGTTTCCCTGCCTCTACCTTATGCTCTGCCAGGCCCAGGGAGAGCATGAGGGTGCTCCAGGGGAGGTGACTTCGGGGCAAACCTAGTCTCAGAGGAGGGTGTCTGTCTCTTCTGGGAATGGTGTGGTGCCCTGGTCACACTCCTCCCAGAGGGGTTCACCAGTACAATTGCTAGTCTCCTTCCTGAGCTCCTGCCCCGGGACATGAAGATTTGGTATTCTCATGCCTGGGGCCAGGTCCTACTTCTCCAAGGGACTGCAGTGCAGAGGGCAGGCGCCCTTGTATTTCAATTGGATTGACCGATAGGTGGAAAGCCTCACCCCTCAACTGGGTGAGGGCCTTAGATGAAGAGCTGTGTGTATGCATAAAACCAGCACAACGCTGAACAGGATTTCTACTTCCCCATCTGCTCCAAATAGACGGTGAGAGGGCAGGCCAGGCCCCTCCCATCCTTCTCTGTCCAGAAAGGGCTGGGGTCAACCAACACCAGTGATACTGAATTATGCAGTGTGGCCCAATGAAAAATGAGCATAGGTCTCCAACCTGTCTTTGAAGGGGACAGACCAGCCTTAGCTCATCTGTGACCAGAGCTGGTGATGGAGGGAGCCACTTTGCCCAGGCCTCATGCTCTGGGGCAGGTGTGATGACCCTCTTGGTAGTCCAGGAATATTGACCAGGGACTTCTAGAAGTAAATGCAGAATCTGCTAAAACAGGGGTTTTCAACCTTTTGGGTCAGTGTACCCTGGCGGCCGGATGCAGAGCGGAGGGGTGGGGGAGGGGTGGTGCATGGCCAAATGCAGAGCGGCAGCAGCCGATGAGTGAGACCTTCCCCTGCCCCCTGAGTCCAGCCGGGTGGGCAGCGCCTGCGCGGGATGGTGTGTGGCAGCACTCCATCCCTGCCTGCACGTACCACCTAGGGCCTTCTCAAGTACCCCCGGGGGTATGCGCACCCTGTGCTAAAAGAACATGGCTTCTGCAGCTGGCAGCTATAAAAGCTGTACCCTCTGTGGGCTGGCACACAGGGGATGGGGGCAAACACTCAGCAAATGGGTTATGGGGGCAGGATCTGAATCAGGAAGCAGGGGAAGAGCAAGAGGATGTCAAGGATGTGCAAGTATATGTCCTTTAGAGAGCATGGAATTAAATATATTCACATGTTTTTATGATCTATGAATCAAATTAATATATTTAGAGCAATGCAGGAATTAGCCGAGGTATGACAGTTAATACTGGTAGGTAGAGCTACCATGACTTACTGTTACATGTAGTCTTACCAGTTCTTAGTCAGTGGACAGGCTTTGAAGAAATTCTTGTGTTGTTATTTCCTGTTAGAGATGGCAGAGGACTTTTCTCTCTGCTTTACTCTTTTTAACAAGTCTATCTTGAGATGGAATTACTCCCTAGGAACTGGGAACTGATGTATGGGCTGACATTTTTTTAATGGAGGAATTGCTCTGCATGCTGTTTGTGACCGTCTCTGTTCCCAGACAGTTATACATTGTGCTAATAAACAAGTTACACCAATAATATATCAAGACAGTGCATCCCTGCTGAGACACTGAACGAGACCCAAGTGCCACCTAACACGTATCAGAAGAGTGACAATATTAAAGACATTTGCATGAACAAGAATTGGCTTATTAACCAGCCCCAGCTGTTGTTACAGGGCCTCTGATTCACTCTCCCATAGCATATAGGAACCTGCCAATCCCAGCTTGCAAGTACCCTGCAAATGAGGCATTTGTACATCCACAGTATGATCATATACTGCTTAGCCCTAGCACAGCGTTTTTGCTCTGCACTTTGTACGATGTGTGGGTAGCATTATCTGGTTTACATGTGATTTGTTCGGTGTCCCATAGACAGTCAATGGCAGAGTCCACATTGCTTGCCTCTCAGGTCAGTGTCCTCTCCCTGTGTGTGTACCAGCTAGTTCATTTATAAGGTGTCTCTCTACCCTGTCTTCTGCCTGACTTCAGACTAACATGGTTATCTACCTCACTTAAGATGATGTGAAATACAGCCACAGGGCTCAAACCTGTGGGATAGCTGTGGGGCACAGAGCACACAGTGACTATGAAAATGGTACAGAGTCCCCATCCCACTCCATCAACTCTGCTCTGCCTGGTCAAAGCACCCATGGCCATGCTCCCTTCCCCTGACCATGCCCCCTTTTCTTTCTCATACTGACAACTGAGGGGTTAAGAGGCTGCACATTACTGGGGGATCCCTCTCCTCACCTTAGCTAGTTGAACAAGCTCAGGTTCACCAGTCATGCAACCTTCTGCAGACATGGGGCAGGATGGGCTCTGATTTCCATGTCTATTTATGAAGGCAGCTTGGTGTGAAGAACCAGTTTACAGGGCCCCCAACTCACACATCTGGCCTAGATAGGGAAACTCTCCACTGGTGATGAATCAGTGTAGCTGTCCATGCATATCTCTCCCAGCCCACGCTACAGGGCTGTGGCTGAAGGATGAGGGGTGGGGCTAAGGAGAAAGGGGCAGGAGTCTGCTCTTCATGCCAGACTCTAGGCCAGTACAGAACTGGTCCTAGGAGCTGTGGAGGGCTCCATCATGCTCATCTTGCCTCTGCAGCTGTGCATGACACTGTTTGGGCACAGAGAGGGGGGTCCGGAGGCCCATTCCACCTCCGCCAGGACACCACTGCAATTAACAGACTGGATTCTCCTCTCACACCAGGGTAGGCCAGCACGATTCTATATGGCATCAATTGCATCCCTCCAGGTTTATATTGGGGTAGAGCTGAACTGAGGATCAGGCCACAGAACTTTATATTTTGCTCTTGGATATACTCTTCTCTCTTGAGTCTAAGGGCAAGAGTCCATCTCAGGTACAGATATGCATAACTAATTGCTGTGAACTGCAGTAAAATGCAACACACCCTCTTTTACCACTCACCCACCCACCCATCTGTCCATTCGTCCATCCGTCCGTCCATCCATCCATCCATCCATCCATTGCATTGTGCTTCACCATGTTTATCCTTGCATCTGTGGTGCCAAAGCCTTTGCCTTACAATTTGCAGCAAGCCACCAAAGCCCACTAGAATCCAACTATGTTGGACCATAGGAGAGACTAATTGTAGCCATGATGGTGCCCACTGAGAGCACTTAACACTCAGCTGCTCACATCAAGAGACTGTAGCCACACAGGCACCAGCAGGTCTAGAGCGATGATCATGCCCCAGGCTGCCTGAGGTTTCCACATCACAAAGGGCATGAAAAAATAATTTCATCGTGCAAATCTTTAGGTGTTGTGCATCTCATCATAAAAGTGAGTCACAGCTCGAAAGCCTGGCTATGTTCCAAATAGACCAGGGGTGGGCAATTATTTGGGCCCCAGGGCCATTTAGGGAGTTTTGGTGAGCTATAATGATCTGGGTCAGCACCCCACTTGCCCCTGCCACTATACACCTGCAACAGCTCACCAAAACTAACTAAGTGGCCTTCTGGCCCAAATAATTGCCCACCCCTGATCTAAAGGCAGAGAGGACAAAGGTAAGGGGAACCTAAGCTTTGTTCCTTCCTTCTCCCTGCATTCCCCCTCTGCACGTGACCGGGCTGGGCTGGTGCTGTGCTGTATTCCTACACACCACCTCAGGCCACGTGGGTGCAGCTGGAGTGGTTCTTGCCTGACCTGGCCATGTGCTGGGAACTTGAGGTCGGGGATGGGGTGCAGGGAGAAGTGGGGAGACAGCATAGCACCAGCCTGGCTGGGCCTGCGAATCCCAGCCCCCTGCGAATCTCAGCCCTCTTCTCCCTGCACCCCCTCCCTCACCCCAACTCCCCAGCACGTGGCTGGGTCAGGCATGAGCTGTGCCAGCTGCACCTACGTGCCCTGAGACGGTGCATGGGAACACAGTGCAGCACTGGCTGCATGCCAGGGACATGGGGCAGGGAGAAGGGGGCTGGGAGCTGCAGGTTATCTGGGTATGGCTGGGCTGGTGCTGTGCTATGTTTCCCTCTCCTCCCTTTACCCACTACCTTGCCCCAAGACCCTCACATGTCACCGGGCTGAGCTACATCAATGCTGCACTGTGTTCCTGTGTGTCACCTTGGGCCACATAAATGCAGCTGGCACGGCTCCTTCCCAACCCCAGCACGTGGCTGGGGTTGGGCAGGGGCCATGCCAGCCCCAGACAGCAGAGCTGGGGTCAGGCAGGAGCAGTGCCAGCTGCTCTAGCTGTGCTCACGTGGCGCAGCCTGAAGTGCCTTGTGGGAACACAGCACAGAGCTATGTTAGTGGTGCCTGCACCCCTACCAGGCCCCAGCCTGTTGGAGCCCAGATAACCTGCAGCTCCTGGCCCTCTTTCCCCTGCATCCCCTCTCCCACCAGCGAGGAGAACCTTACCTGTGCTTCGACTCGCTGGGAGCTGGGCTGTCTGGTCTGTGAATGGCCATAGGGTTGAAGCAGGCCACAGACAGCCTCACTGGGCAGAAGCTTGGTCAGGAGCTCAGTGCCCCCTGCCTTAGAGTAAACACTGGGGGCTGGGGTAGGGTGGGCCAAGGAGGGGAGTGGCTGCTGCTACTGCAGCTGGCTGGCATGGGGAAGGGAGAAGGGTGAGAGGCACCGACAGCCAGGGTAGCCGCAGGCTGGATACAATTCTCCTTCAGAGCAGCAGCCACAGGCTGGATAGAATCGTTCAGTGGGCCAGATCTTGCCCACGGGCTATATTTTGCCCACCCCTGAGATAGACCCTTCCCTGCCAAAAGATCCTGCTCCAGGACCCAATATAAAGGGCTTCCTGGCCCAAGTACTGCCATCTTATATCCTCCTTTCCCCCGACAAGAAACCTGTATAATTCCTCCTCCCACAGTTCAGAGTCTGTTGGGTGGCCAGTCAGGTGCTGTGCTCATAGATGCTTGTGACTGCTTTGGCTCTGTAGGATCAAAGCTGGCATCAAGTCTAAAGCCTCAGGTTTCAGCTACAGGAGCTGGGTGGCAGCGGAATTCAGAAAGGGAAGAGCACTTAGCAGACGCTGCTTCTCAGACCCTGATCATGGTGTCTTAAAGGATTCTTGCAGGGTTCACTGGGTGAACCAAGGATGCAGTATTGGGTCAGGCTGATCAGGCCAAGAGGTCTTCAGAAACCCTGATGTAGCTGAATGGCTTGCAACATGGGGGACATACTGGGACTATGAGCCCAGAGGTGGTGGTGCCTGCCATGATGCATTGTTGGCTGCACTATATCCTTCTATCCTGACCCCAGCAAACACCATCCATCAGGGGAGCTGATGCAGCCCTGCCACCCCATCCCCTAGCCCAGCTCTGTGGCAGGGCAGCAAGATAAGCAGCGGGTATAAAGGGACACCATGGCTCCTGGCACTGTAGATCAAATCCTCTGTCTGTATGGCAGCAGCCTGGCAGCAGGCTCTGGCTCCACCATCGGCACCTCACCTGTGCCTTGCGCCCCCTGTTGACGAAGGTGCAGATGGGGTTGTAGGCACCAGTGCCACAGACATATAGGTGGGTGCGGTTCCAGGGCTGGATCAGGCGGATGAAGTTCCCACACTCACCCTGGAAAGCAAGAGGAAAGTGTGAGGGGTAGCTGGGTGCAGGTTCCCTCCTCCACCCCACAGTGTTGCTCACATAGCAGGGGCTGGGTTCTCATCTGCCAGCCATATGGGCTCCATAGCAGGAGGATGGGTGCCCCCGAGCTGGGGCAGCAAAGGAAACCAAGGCTGAAACTTACTCCTTTATTCAGCTTTCCATTTGTTTCTGCCATCAGGAGGGAGCTGGGGGCTGGGGTATTCAAAGCCTCCAGGATAAAGAGATATGTTATGTTTATCCAGGTGATGTCTGTTATCTTCATCCTCCGTACATAGCCTGGCCTGGCACCCTCCCTCGGAAAGGCTCAATGAATGAACCTTCTCCTCACACAGAGGGTCTCTGCGTTGCACCCACAGTCAGTGCTCCTGCCCTGATCCCTATAGCACCCCTGCTGGGATGGGCTGGAGTGGAGTTTTGAGGAGCTCCCCCTCAATTAGTGGTTCTTTCTCACTTTTCACAGTGCTCCTGCTCAGCTCCATGGGCGACTGGTGTCTCCTAGCTCTGGTGAAGGAACACCAATGGACAGTCATCAACCGTGGAGGAGAGAGGGTCCCCCCAGCGGCCGATCGCTGACTCCAGAAGCACCAGCAGCAAACCAGAAGTGCCTCCAGAAAAAACGGAACTGATGCTGGCGCGTCTCAGCAGGGGCACTGGCCGATGCTCCCCACTCCCCAGCTGGCGAGGACCAATTTCAGGGGGGGGTATGTGTGCCCCCCTTTCCTCCCCCCCATGCCTCCCCTATGTGTCGCCTACGCTCAACTCTATAGCACCCCTGCGGGGGAGGCAGGGACTGGAGTAGCTGATAACTGGCTCATAGCCCGTATTTCTGCAGGGAACAGGAACACCTCTAGTGTCACACAAATGCCCAAGTATAAGCAAGGTGACCTCTAGGCTTCAATTTCTGAGGATTGTCCTGTGCCTAGGAGAAAGCTCTGAATGTCACACACCAGTGCCAATATCTTGCAGCGGACAAAGGCTAGTGGGCACCTCCAGCACTCTCTGCTCTACAAAGGGTGAAATTTAACATAGTCAACCCAGCCTATGGGTTATTCACAGGTAATGGCTCTGCAGAGGGTGGTCTTGACTAATCAGAGTTGATTGGGCTGAATGCCCAACAGGTGAGAGGTGGTAGGAGCAGCAAGAAGGCTGAGCAGCTATTCCCACCCACTTCCTGCAGGGTCCAATCCCTTTGTTAGCTTTAGCAGGGAGGAGTGGGAGCAAAGGCATGGATTGGGTTTCCTTTTTACAGCTCATGTTTCCTCCGTGACTTCCATGGGGGGCAGTCCATGGAGGAGTTGAGCCCAGGCCAAGCGGGCTGGAGTTCAGCGCAGGAATCAGGCAAAGGAGACAGCAATAAGCAGAGGCTTTTGTTTTCTTTTCTTTCTGTTAAGACACATGTGGGCTGGGAGGCCAGAGCCTTGCGGCAGGAACAGTAGCAGCTGAGAAATCCGGAGGGGTTGGGGGGAGATTCAAGGTCAGGCGGCTGCCAGCCAAGGGGGGCTCTGGCTTGGGAGGAAGCAGCTTGGTGACCTCTGACCTCTTGCTTCCTCTAGGTTGTTCACACTCACTTAAGAAGGTCTCGACTGGGGCTCATAGCAGAGGGTTCAGTGATTTCTGATGAAGCCTGGGTGGTACTGGCAGGGTACTGTTTCTGAGCCAGAGTCCTCAACGGATCTAAAGCAAGCAACAGCCACTCAGAGCCTTGCAGAGCCAGCAGGGAGAGCCCTCTGGCCCTTATGCCTAGCAATGCTGCTGGAGCTCCAGGAGACTCATTGGTGCCTGCAAGCCTAGCGCGGGGCGGGGAGTTATAGCACTTGCCACAATGTTCCAAAGGCTCCAGTGTGCCTGCATGGCCAGCTGCAAAGTCCTTGATGGATGAGAGTTTGTTACCATGGCCTAGTGATGGAGCTGAATAAGCAAGCTTCAATGATGAACCACAGGCCTTTGAACCCCATGCCAACATTGCTAACTTGAGGGTTCCTGATGGGCCGGTGATGAAATCCTGTGATATTATCATATCACCTGATAGGGTGAGGTTTGCTCTTAAAGATCTAGCCCCCGCTGGTGCAGGAATGCCAGATGTCAGTGGCAGCCCAAAGTTGTGGCAGGTGCCTTTCCACATCAACTGGCATCCCTGCCCACCCCTTGGCTATGTGCTGCTCCTGGCTAGTACTCACCTTGCTGTTTTTCCCCGACAAGATGCACTCTTCGATCCTTTGCTGGGAAGCAGGCCAGTGAATCTGACAAAACAATAAGCACCTCATTGTTAGCTTGGACCTCACACACAAACCAAATGTGATGAGTTCAAAAGGAAAATAAACTGCCCAAGTCGATGGCCCCACAAAGAGCTCCCACTGGCCTCTGTGATTGCCAGGGACGAAGAATCCACTCCAACCCTTTGTGAGTTGTTCCAGTGGATAATTCTTCTCCCTGTTCAAAATGTGAATCTAATTTTTAGTGTAGGAGTGATGTTGTAACTGTGATGGTCTAGAAATATGTGAGAAGGAAGAAATTTTTTAGGTGATATCTTTTATTGGACCAACCGAGAGATCCAAAAGCTTGCTTGTGTCTATCTCAGTATCCTTCCTCAGGCCTCTATCTTATTTCTAGTCAGAACTTGTTGGGTTTCAACCTCTAATCATTGGATCTTGCTATATCTCTACCTGCTAGACCAGGGGTTGGCAACCCCTGGCACACATGCCAGAGCATGGCACATTAGGCTATTTTGCTCAGCATGCCACAGCTGGCCCAGGGTCTGGGCAGCTGCTGCTGGCCACAGAGCCTGGGCTGTTTGCAGCAGGCAGCCAGGAGGCTGCAAGCCCTGCTACAAGCAGCCCAGGCTCTGTGGAAGGCAGCAGCTGCCCAGAACCCAGGCTGGTTGTGGCAGGCAGCTGGGAGGCTGCAAACAGCTGCACTGGTGTCTGAAGCCCTGCCACCGGGGTCCACACATGTGTCTCAGGGTGCATGGTGGGAAAGGGGTCAGGGTTGCGCTGCCTTAAACCTCTTCCCTGCTGTCCACCTAGAAGCACATGTGCACCTGTCACCAGCAACGAGGACCAGGCCCCTTGCTGCTCCCCTGCCATCTGCCCCTGAAACTCCAAGTCAAGGTGTGGGTTGAAACTGGGGTTTTTTGGCACTCCAGCCAAAAATGTTGCCAACTCCTGTGCTAGACTATGAGGCCCACTGTTACCAAATTTCTGTTCCCTGTGTGAGTATTGTGGGCTGTGATAAAGTCTCCCCATAACCCCCTCTTTGACAAGCTAACCAGACTGAGCTCCTTGTTGTTTTCCCTATAAGAGTTAGCTGCAGTGGCACAAGGCATTAAGGAGAGTGGCTCTGAAGCC